GTGTTCGCGCTTTTTGTCACCCACTTTCAACTCGAGAACCAAAAATGCTAGAAGGCTGAAACTTCAGGAATATGTGCCCACCACTTGTGCGACCCTCTCATTTTAGTATCATTACTCGCGCATGCTTAAGTGTCGCCTATGAACGCTTAAAAAATATGCAAATTTTTTGGCGGTAAATCGATCTCGGGAACCAGACAAAATAGAGGGCTGAAAATTTGCAGGGATATTCCCTGTGCATGTGTGAGCTAAAGATTCGTTTCAAGGAAATATATTACCTCGTGGACGCACACGTCAAACTTATCGTTGGCAAAATGCAAATTCTGTAACTATGTTAACTAGAAATTCAAACTTCATGAGAACATTTCCCATAATTGTACAAGTATAGTTAAAATGAGCTTTGGCATACGTCTGAGTCGTGAGTTCTGACATGCCAAATATTCCACGTAACAAGAAGCGATTTCACTAACCATAGATGCTAGGGGAATCTGAGATTATACTAGGATATTCTGTGCCCGTGTATGACTAAAATCCTATAGTTTAAGCCCTGGAATATGCCCAGCTCTCGCGTACGCCACAACTGAATTGTTAGTTCCAGGCACCGTTGATACCCAATTAACTTAGTATGCAGGCAGAGCAGGAAGCAGTATTTTGCTGAGTATGTTTATTGTTCACGTACGAGTCTGCAGCTTTGAAATGAGTTTCCGGCTACGTATATGTCCTACACACGGACGCGTTTAATTTGCTATACTATCATCATCACTATTATCTTTTTCTCTTCCCCTCTCTCTCAGGCAAGAGCGATGCAATTTTTCGAAAATGCTAGCACATCCTATAGGGCACCAAGTGTACGAAATCACCATCCACTGATGTCTACGTCCCGTACATCGATACAGCAAAATTCAGGCTCCAAAACTGCCAGCACCTTCGCATTTCTCTACCCGGACGGGATGGTAAGTTACATTTCTAAATGAATATTCCCAAACTATGAATGACTGCAGAAGTATAAAGTAGCTGTGTACATCTATATCTCACCAAAGAAACACTTCATTGCTTACGTGTGAATAAGAGCGTGAGCGTAAAAGACACTCAGTAAAGCCAGAGCGAGCACAAATCGTGTCAGTACAGCACTAAACATCTCTGTGCAAAAATGCATGATCGCACCGGCTAGTCAGGTGCGTTCCGATCTGAGTTTTGTACTAAACAGATGCTACCACATATAGAGTTACGCAATGATATTGATAATTAACAGCGGCAGCCCAAGCAATCTTGGCGGTCGACTGATTTTATGCTTTGCACATTCTGAATTTCATTCGCTAAAAATGAGTGTCAGTGGCCTGAAAAATTCCTATGCTTCTGTAATACCTACACTTATTCTCTGCCCAGACTTAAAAATTGTCTTTTGTCCACTCTACGTAAAATATCGAAGGACAGCAAATGCCCTGAATCATGCTGACACTATTATAGTAGTGAAATGTGCAGAACAAGAAATCTTAAAGTATTGTAAAATAACGTACTCGAATAATCTGATCGAAATATTC